GAAAACCTATCCTTTTTTCACCTCTAAATAAGGGTGCCAGCAATCTAGGTCATTTTTTAAAAATATGTCTTTATTTATTCTCTCTCTTCTTAATAGCTCCATTCCAGCTGATTTAAGACATCAATCTCATCACTCCAGGCATTGCCCTACTTCAGAGTCACCCAGCATTGTATGCTGTCTACCCAGTCTGCCCCCAAAAGTAGGTGGCCTAGAATAAAGAGGAGAAAGTAAAAGAGAAAACGAAAGGGGGCACTTTCCTCTCAGGCCAGAGCCAGACAGACCAGAGAATCACCTACCAAGGGCTGCCAAGCATTGCTTGCTGAGGAAGTGATGGGGTCTTAGGAACACCTTGGAAGCTCGTTAATCTCCCGTCTATCTTCCTACCTCCTGCCCCTCACCTGCTATTCTGCATCTTAAACCTTTGAAAGAACTGTCTCACAGCAAGGAAGAGACCAAAGCAGAAGCATAAGACAAGGGAGAGGTTGAGACCATGAGTCTCCTGGATATGGCCCTGGCTCTCTATGGGATATCTATAGAAAGTATCTATGGGTCATGAGGTTATCATGAGGATATCAATGGGATATCTGTGGGGCATGAGGTTATCATGATATTAATGAGATATTTATGGGTCATGAGGTTATCACAAGGCTCTCTATGGGCTATCTCTGGGCAATATGGCTTGTAGTTCCATTCATTTGAGGTCCTTAATGATGCTGGAAGTCACTCACCTGTGACACAAAGGAAAGGACACCCTAACTGAATAAGGGCCCAAGGAAATCTTCAAGGTCCATGGGTTTGTTGACTTGTGAGAGACATGTGGCTCGGGGAACTGTATTTTCTGTGAGGTTAAATGTTCACAAATTTAGGGTTATGAGGAACCAGTCAGGAGATATTTCATTCCAAGGAGGTTGGTTTAGTGCCAGCCAGCCCTCGCACCCACTCACCATCTGCCTGGGCTCCAGAGGCAGCTCTGGGCGGGTGAACTGCAGCAAGCGTGCCATTGCCTCCTGCAACTACCTGTTCCCTTCTGTTCTGAGGAAAGTAAGGAGGTCTGAGATCCGGGGCAAAGCAGGAGAACTCACAAGAACAGGCCCCCTCTGCCACTCTTGGGAAAAGCCCTTCTGGGATTAGCACAGAGCATCTGATTGGTCAGAAACACGGGGTCCATGCACCCATGGGGTTGTATGTGGAGTGCCATGGGTGTGCACCTTTTCTCATGTGGGAGTCCACAGCTTCCATCAGCTCTTCCTGACCTCCCCACCCTCCCTAACTTAGGGAAGAGGAGAGGACTCTGACCTTCACTGGCTGGACTTAATCTGAGAAAGGAAAAACTAGGACACTTAGAGGCTTCATGGCTTTGGATCCTGCTTCCATAAACACCTCCTCACAGATGCCTTCTCCTATCCCACAGCTGTTTCAACCCCATCACTCTCACTGGCACAGAACACAGTGTCTTACACACAGTAGTCACTCCGGAAGTACCGTGGAACCAATGTGGACTCCAATGAGACCACTGCTAATAATAGTGAAAGGCGAGTGCCTGGGTGGCTCAGTCGTTAAGCGTCTGCCTTCGGCTCAGGTCATGGTCCCAGGGTCCTGAGATCGAGCCCTGCCTCAGGCCCCCTGCTCCATGGGAAGCCTGCTTCTCCCTCTCCCACTCCCCCTGCTTGTGTTTCCTCTCTCACTGTGTCTCTCTCTATCAAATAAATAAATAAAATATTTAAAAAAAAAAAAAAAGAATAGTGAAAGGCTTCTGTCGTTGTCCCCCAAGATAAAATGTGACATACAGACCCTGGAATCACATGGCCATCCTTGACAATCATTACGTGGCCTATGGTTGGCAAGATCGCCATCATGCCTATGCCTTTCTCCTCCCTAACCTCATTTCACCAGTCCTGCCCCTTCTTATAAGGGTACAGATTTCTTTTTCTCCTCCTGGGTGGTTATTGGACTTTCCTCTGCTGGTTTGGTTTCCTTTGTAGCCTTGCTTCAGACAGTAAATTTCTGGTTAAAGGAGGCTCCCAAGCTCCCTGTGATGGGGCAAGGTCTGACACACACAGACCTTTCTGCCCTGCCTCTCCTAACAACCACTGTTTTGCTGGATATTTTAGTCCTCAGCCACTGGGAAAAAGCCTCCATTCCAGAGCCAGGATGGCTTTTCAGCTGTGGGCTCTATTTTTAATAATTGCCAACTTCCTAGGAAATCCCCACTCCCATCCCAGGACCACATGGCCTCTGGGCTTCCTTCCTGCCCCTACACTCCTGCCTTCAGTGGCCTCACGGTGCAAGATTTAGCCATTCCTCCCTGGTCTGACACTGGCTTGCTTCTCCAAGCCTCAGATAGCCACTCTTCCCCCAACGCTTCTAGAACCCTCCATGTTTATTCCTACAACTTCATTTACCACCTCGCATTGTAGTTGCCTTTTATTTATCTGTCCCCCTGCTAGCAAGGGCTTCCTATTTATAGCACATTGCCTGGCACATATCAAGTTCATGCATTCACTCAACGTTCACTGAGTACTTGCCATGCATGAGGCACTGTTTTTGGCACTTGGGATACACCAGTGAACAAACCAGACCAAAACTGCCTGTCCTCAGGGAGCTTACATTCTACATGGAAGACAAACACATAATAAATGAATAAATGATACAGTTAAAAAGTGATAAGCACCATGTGAAAAACAGCAGAGTATGTGGGAATGGGAATGCTCAATAAATTCATGTTGAATTGAATTGAATTATGACATGGTAAAGTAGACATACATTGGGAACTCTTCTTTTGCTCAGTGACTCAGTTCAAACCAGTGTCCCCAAGCCCTGAACACAGTTTTTGTGCTCTGTGCCACATTTGGTAGATTCCTCTAACCAAAATATAGTGATACCAGATAAATAGTATTAGATTTGAAAAGAACATATCAGGATGTAACACTTCAGACCAGTCCAACTAAGTAGGTCTCCCGGTACTTCTCGATCTTTTTTACTCACAGCACACAGAGAACATAGTATTTGTCCAGCATCTCAGGCACATGGGTAAGGTTTCTTGGAGCCTGAGAAGCCCTGAGGGCTGAGGGAGGTACTATCCCAGCCCACGTGTAACTCACCGGAGGCCCCTGGCTTTAGAATACCCTGGGTGATTAACACGCAGTCATGAGGCTCACTGATTTGGGAGCAATGGCCCAGGGATCTGCGTTGTTAACAGTTCTTCCAGATGATTCGGATGCTGCTGGTCTTCAGACCACACTTTAATGAAAACTGCCATGCAACAAAGCAGAGACAGGTAGTGAATCACAGTATTTGTCGTGTCCTTGTATTTGAAGTTGAGAGCTATGCAGAATGGTGTAAATCATTGGTTCTCAAACTTTAGCATACATCAGACTCACTGTAGGACTTGCTAAAACATGGGTTGTTGGGCCCACCCGCAGAGTTTCAGGGAAGGCCGAGCACGTGCATTTTTAAACAGGTCAAGGCCACACTCCACTAATGTCAATCATTTGGGAAGCTTGTATATTGGAAATTTGGATTCCTGTAAGGCAATTTCACAGAGACAAAGTTGGGGTTCATTTTAGAAAGATATGACTAAATCCTGTTTCGTCTAGTTGGAAAGCATTAAAAGAAATAGATTTGAGAAACTAAACCAGAACAAATTTCCTATTTGATAAAAAATGCTGCTCTGTGACTTCACGTCATGTTTACAACCTACCCTCCAGCCAGCTGTGTGCTGGTATATGTTTAACCACCAGTTCTTAGGGGCAAAGGACAAAGGGGGGCTGATCTCTGTCATTTACCCACTCTGCCCCACCATGGCCATTTTCAGGCTACCCTAGTGACATCACTGAACACGAACAAGGGAAGAGATGTGCGGTGGTTCTCCAAAGCCCGGAGGAGCCAGGTGCAGCACACCACTGCCTCCAGCGACTGCAGGGGTTTGCCACCTGTCAGAGGCTGTCTCCGTTACCCAGTTAGGTACTGGTCACAGTCTCTAGGCTACAGGAAAAGCGGTTGCAGGACAGGAACTGTTCTCTGCAAAAGTAACCAAAACAACCGTCCTTCCTGGGCTGTGGCCTGGAGTGCTTGTGAAGCACTGCAGTTTTGCTTCTAAATTCCAGGTCCAGCTCAGGAAAGCCCCCGGGAAGGGCTCTCCTTCCTCACGCATCCTCAAAGGTTCTGGGTGTCTGGTTCCTTCAGGAAGAGTCGAGGCCCTCCTGACACCAAGGTTAGGCTGCTCCAGGGTGCAGTGGAAGATTTCATGCCACATAAACCCAACTGAGCTGAAACAACCCTATGCTGAAAAAATCACTTTTTTAGGTAACCCACCTTATTAGACAAGTGAAAACGTTGAAGAAAGTTTTCTGGTTCCGGAAAATAAAACAACAGAGCCAGAATTCAGAGCCTGCAAAGGTCCCTTATGGTTCAGATCAGGGTCATGGGGAAGTATTTTGAATATTGAGGGTGCCAGAGATGACAGTGGATCCTGGTTCAGCCTCCCTGGTCTCCTCCAGTTCTGTCCACACCCTTCCTGCCTGCCTCCTCACTTTAACTCATTCTGCTCTCTCTTTCCTAACCTGCCTTCATCTTTCCAGATGCAGGACGCTATGGGCTATGAGTTACCCTGGGTGTATTTTGTCAGTCTGGTCATCTTTGGATCCTTTTTCGTTCTAAATCTGGTTCTCGGTGTGTTGAGCGGGTAAGCTGACTGTTTCTATGTACTCTTTACAATGCAGCCGAGCAAGGTCCCAGGTCCCACTGTATCCATCACCACGGTCCTCAGGGATGGGATCCTAACAGGCCAGGAAAACCAGAAAAATAAAAAAAAAAAAAAAGTCCCCATTCAACCACAGATTTTGACCCATTGGCTGGGCAGGCCATTTGACCTCTGATTTGCACCTAGAGGATCCCCGGGTCCCGGCACTGCTTCGGTCAGTGTCCAGGAGCCGGTGATGGGCACTTGGCCGTGCTCGGCTGCTGAGTGTGCCTCACTAACTATCATTCCATTCTTCCAGGTCAATGATGCCGTAGGAAGGGACTGGCCCTGGATCTATTTTGTTACACTAATCATCATAGGGTCATTTTTTGTACTTAACTTGGTTCTCGGTGTTCTTAGCGGGTAAGCAGGACCAAGGAAAAAGGTCTTGATTTTATTTTATTTACTCTTTCTGCTATTCCTGGCTTTATTCTTTTTTCTGGCTCTGATGAACCTGGGATAAGAGGCTACCTCGGGAGCCTTGAAGTGAGTGTCCTTGGCCTGGCTGGAGAGGAATCAAATGTACAAGGATTAATCTGTTGGTTTGGGCTTCACAAGGAGCTTCTTAGGCCCGCCTGTCTCCGGCTAGCTCATCCAAGCCCCTCCCACCCTCAAACAGCTATTCAGGTAGGCAGGATGTTTCTCCTTCTACCTGAGGAGCTGCATGGTGAGAGCCTTGAGTCAAAAGGGTTTGGCAGTAGGGATTGCCTTGCCAATAGGTACTTGCCTGATTACCGTTGTGGCAGGCTAACAAAAAGATTTCAGATAGCTTTTATGCTATCTGTTGAATGGACTGGGGTAATAAGAGTTTGATTTAAAATATAAGTAAACAAACACAAACTAAAAATAAAATTGTCTTTGATTCTAATTCACAAACTCTGCAGTCCGTGTCTCATATGCCCTTTTCCTGAATGGAAATGGCGCTTAGCTGTTCAAAGCCATAGATTATTTGTGAATAGAGGAAATGGAATATACTTTCCTTTAAATTTATCTACTCGGCTACAAGTATAAAGTTTGCCTAATTTCAGCCTTTGCTCTGATGAAGTTAAAAAGTGGTAGAAATAACATATGGTCGGGGCATCAAGCTGCCCTGGGGATGGCCACCTTGACACCACAGAGACTCACTGGCCCTTTCCTCAACCTGCCTTCTTCTTCACAAGTCCACACCAGCCAGGCCAAGGCCTAACACCTAAATGCTCCTGGTGACCTGCTCATGGGTGACCTCTTCTGCTACTTTTGCTACAAGGGGGAGGGGGACAATCTATTTCTGCCCTGCTTTGAATAGCCTTTCCTATGTCTCCAGGGACAGTAATGCTGGGAGAAAGTCAGGCATGACAGGAACGATTGCATTTAATTTTTACTAAGTACATAAACTGGGAACAGCTCCTCCCGTCTCCTGCCATAGCCTAATGTCCTATAGGAGCATCAGGTTTAGTCTTTGGGCTTTGGTGAAAGGAAGAATCTGCTCCCACTCTCACTCCTTTCCATGGTGGGTGGCCTGTTAGAGACTTTGATGACACCATGCCTTTTGCCAAGGTACGGCCACACAGGAAATTAGTGTCTTCCATCAGGGATAAACATAACAGAACATGATGAACAGGACAACATAAGCCCCTGGTTAGCTGCCTGGAAGGTATAAAGGTTTTCAATTTTGTGTTCCAACACAAGAAAATGCTCCTGTGTTTATATGTGAATCAAAGCATTGAAAAAACCAACTTCATCACTCCCACTCGAGACAAATTTGGATATCCCAGCTCTGCACTTGCTGGATGCATAGAGTTGGGCAACTTCACCCTTTTAAACTTCAGTTAGCCATCAAAAAAAAATGAAGATAAGAATACCAACTCATAGGTTGTTGTGATAACAGAGTGAGATCGTTTATGTAAAATACTTGGCATATACTAAGTGTTCAATAATGGTGCTATCATGATAATGATTATTGTTTACTTGGTGCCTATCATAACTGGAATTATTGCATAAAATCCTCAGCCTTTTCCTTTTAAAGATGAGGAAAGTGAGCCCGGAGGTAAATGGCTTATGTGATGTCATTGTGCTTCTAAGTATTAGAACAAAGACCAGAACTCAGGCAGAGCCTGGACCCCATCTTCCCATCACCATCCATTGGCTATACGTTGAATGAACTTGAACTGTAACACAAGCTAGAGCTCTGAACCTTTAAAAAAATGTGATTCTAGTTTCTTCCCCCAGAGATTGGGAACAAATCTAAGCAAGTGAAATTCCCCCACCCAAAGGAATCCAAAATGGAGAATCAGCACTGGCCGTTGAAGGCCCCTCCTCAAACAGGGTACCTAACTCACAGTCATTCTTGCCCCCCGCCCAGGAAAGTTGTCTTCCTGGCAGAGAAGTTAAATGGCAGCAGCTGCTGATGTGAGAGAAAAGTCGTTTTGAAGACCATGTCTTGGACCAACTCAGTCCCATTGAGATAGCATGTGTAAAAACATCTAGCCCAAACCCTGGCATTAGTAATGAATTGACTCTAAACAGGAACACTAAGGCTTTCAGACTTCAGAACTGTGAGCTCTGGAGTCCATACATTGGTCTCTGCAGGACACCTTCCCCAGCACCTCCTCCCTGACCCCATCCCAGAGTAGTAGTCTGCTCCTCACAGCTCTGGAATTGCTGATGGAACATCTCCCAAGGCTTCCTGGGCTGCTGGGCACACCCTCTGCACCGACAGAGAAGTGTCTATGGTTAGTCATCTCCCCTTCCTGGTTTGAGGAGGCCTCCTAATCAGTCAAAAGGGCTGGCCACTCTGCATGGGCTGCCCTGCATCCATGCAGTGACAAAATCTGGAATCAGGCTCTTATTGGCTACCACACGGTGGCAGTGGTTTCAGTTTTGAGTCAGCATCTTAATGAGTCATGACAATAACATACAAGTCACCACAAGAATGCAACAAAACTCCCACTTACTCATCAGTCAGACTTCTGATTAAACCAGCTTCCAATAGCATCCAAAAAACTCTCAGAGCTCCACGAAATTCACTGTCCCAATGATAGCATTAACAGTAACCAACCTCCATGGCAGGCTCAATACATGGAGCCTTTGGTGGATAGTTCATTCCATGCTCACAACAACCCTATGAGCTGGGTGCTATTTATATCTCTGTTTTATAGAGAAGAAAACTGAGGTACAGATGAGGAAACTACCTCAGTTCTTACAGGTGAAAATGGAGGATCCAGGATTAAAGCCAAGCAACGAGAATCCATAGCCTCTATCCCTAATCTCCATGTTATACTATCCCCAAACCCATTTAACTGGCTAATCCCATGTTCCTAAATTAGAGTCAAGAAGTGGGGAGGTGAGAGCAATAAGTGCAGTGAGGAGGAGCAAGAGGAAGAGGGAGAAAGGCAGAAGCAATCCATGGAACAACTGTTGAAAACAGCCGCTGAGAACAGAAAGAACCCCAAGAGGAAGCTGCAGAGCCACCACTCAGGAGGCTGCAGCAGGGCATGGTTGTTTAGCATGGGGGCTGGCAGCCCTGCAAATGTTAATAGTCCTTGAGAGAGAACAGACCCCCGCCCCTTGCCCAGCTCGGTAGAACTATAGCCTTGGAGCATTTTGGAACTGGAGCAGTCTGAGACCCTACACCCACCCATTAAGGACAGTATGATTTTACAGTCCAACACAGTAACTCATCCTTATAAATTATGTCCTTCAGTCACCAAGAGAAGGTTAAATTGTGCTTGGAGTGTTCTATTCAAGAAGGAAAGAGGACATTCTATGAAGTAAAATGTAAACATTCCGAGATTTTGGTCACCAGAGGGTTAGGTACCCTCTATCTGGAACATTAACATATTCAGAACATCTTATTCCTCACGAAGCTAAATAGAGCCAGTGTAAAGAATATATATCTCGTGGAGTTTTTCAAAATGGTTTCATGTTCATTATCTATTGATCCTCACAAGCCACAGGACTTCTATGAGCACAGACAAGAACTGGATTATACTTGCTTTTCTCTCCAAAAATCTCAGTCTCCAGCCTACTAAAATTAAAGCAATGACAGTGAGATTCTCAAAATTGCACTGAAGCTGTAGTTAGGTAAAAGTCCCCGGACTCTGGAATCTGGTCACTTTTTGTTTTAAGTGATTGCAAACTGAGGACTTCAGATATGGGCCGTCAGTAGACAAGGAACTCAGAGTCTCTTAGATGGGTGGTCATCCCGCCCATATCCTGCCCACCAGGATATGGGCTTGTCTCTCTCCCCAAAACAGCGAGGGGCTTGGTGAGGAAGCATTTTGCAACCTGAAAGCATAAATAGACCATGGCACTATAGTAAAGACACAATGCCTAGGCCCAGAAGGATCCAGGACTCGCATTCTTCGTGGGTGGAAGCAGAATAGACAGCAACATCTATAGTCGTGTTCATTATCCGTGTAGTTACATTCTATGAGGTCACTATGAACACTGAATTAATGAATACTAAATCATTACTCTTGGACTCTTGGGAGAAATACAGGGGAAATGCAAGGATCCTGTGAGCTTCTAGTCACAGTATTTTTGTCAACCAACCAATACACGACTTTATTTTATGTTTTTCTGTTTAAAGGCATCTTATTTAATATATATTGTTGATTCATTAACATTGAGTTCATGACCAACAGCACTATAACTGATGCCTGAACGGAGTTTATCTAACACATGTACTTTTTCCCTAAGGCACATCACAACCTTCTTGCACTTAGGAACACTAGGCAACACTTCAGCACTGTGCTTGGGGGCTATTTTTAACAGAAAAACCACCAATAGAAAGCACAGAAATGTGACAAACATGGCACTGAAGAGATAATAAAAAATACACTTGTTTACAGTGTGAGAGCTGAAACAAGAAGGCAGAGTGTAGCCGTGTTTAACCTCAGCTGCTCATGTGACTCCAGACTTTTGCCATGCTGCACATGTCTGCATATGACCACAAAGGCACACAGGTATCAATTTGGGAGTTACAAATAAATTTTAGCAAGTAAGCAAATTCGCAAATATGGAATCTATGAATAATGAGAATCGACTGTATTGATCATCAGAGGGCCTAGAGCCCCAGCCTTCTGTATTGACTGGATTTCCCACATATACCTCCCTCAGCATGCTTTACATTACTGAGCACTGGCCCCCAACTCTCCATTCCACCCCTCATTTTTCATGTTGGCCATTGCTGGCAAGAGCTGTGCTCCTGCCTTATGACAAATTCCATGGCTGTGACTGATTGTCTAGCCAGCTCTGGTCCCTGGGCCCAGCACAGCCCATCAGGCTGGGGCTTCATGTCTTCATTAGCTCAGACCCCAGAGCAGGCACATGGCTGTCATCCAGGCAAGGAGATAAAGAGATCCGGATACCACCACCCAGCAAATCCCTTACTGCATGGAGTCTGGAGAAAGAAACCTTGGCTCACCTTCCATCCAGCCACAAGCAGAGTTATGCCCCTCACTCCATGGGAGCCAATGGGAGCCAGCAGGGCTTCAGATCTGACCCTGCCTCCATTCCCCTCACACCCCAACACAACCTCATTTTCTTTTCTCCTTATAAATGTTTACGTTAGTTCCCCAGAGTCTTCGGGTATGGATAATGAGCTTTCATTCCACAGGGCAGATGCTGTAACACAGGACTGGGTCAAATGTTCCTATCCCAGTTTGATCCCAACCCTGTTCTCCTGACTCCAGAAGGATGGGTCATTGTTTTGTAACTAGAACTTAAGCCCTCTGCAAAATAATCCAAAAGAGCTAAAGTGAACCCTCTGCTATTCAGTCCCCTTACAACCCCAAACCCACTCCACAGAAAAGAAATGGAGAATGCAAATGTATGTGGGCAGAAATGGAAGCACAGTTGTTGGAGTCAATTTGCATGGGGAAGGAACTGCCGTGTGAAGTGACTGTCTCCAGAGAGTGAGTCTACAGCCCAGGTGGTATGACCAGATATAGGCGATCTATCCATGCTCATCCCCAACAGCAAAAGGAGGGAGGGAACAAAGCAAGGCAAAGCTTCCATCTTCATTTTTTAAGCTGTCAATCTGGCCCCTTTTCCCTGGCATTAAACTCCCTGGGAAGGAAATGAAGGTACCCGCCAGTTGGCAGGAAGCCAGAGAAACAGCAAGTTCAATCCAATTAGAATTGGGTTCAATCAAATTTAAGAAGAAAATTCCATCCAAAGCATAGCATCATTAAGACAGCAGTTGAAGAAAGCTCATTAGCTTGAGAGCCCCCACATCTCCCAATTAAAACATTCCCTAGACCACTCCCAGTCCTAACACCTTTTTATCCATAAAAATGGTGAATGCTAAAAATCTGTGCTTTCCTAAGCAGCACAAGCAAAATGCAAATACTAAATAGTGGAGGTGCTTATAGAGCCACCCCTATATGACTGAATGGATTTGGGAGCTTTTGTCTACCTGTGGTTTATTGCTGTGTCCTTCCTTCCAAGGTGCCTCTTAAGAAATTCCTTCAAGGTGGTTTCTACAACCTCCTGCCCTGAACTAGGCCTGTACTGGTGAGAGAAGGAGGAATCACGTCTTTGTGAATTAATCAGGATGCCCAGCGCATGTCCCACTCTCTCATACATGCATGCATACGCGCATGTGTACACATACACACACATGCACACACACACCACTGAGGGCCCCATTTCCCATAAACTGAATATCAAAGACCAAAATGCTCCTAATGTACCTAATTTGGAAGAAAAGACACAAACTTGCTTTGAGAGTTGAGAACTAGCCTTCTTGGTCATTATGTTCTGCTGCCAGCCCCCCTTCCTTGCTCAGAAAGTGAATTTGAAGTCAGAGAGAAAATCAGGACAAAATCAAAAAATAGGAAAGAAATACCCATTCTGTCAGAAAATTTTCAACAGGCCCTTCTTCCAGCAAATCCCAATCCAATTCCAGTTTCTACTCATTATTACTTTAAACTGAATGCATCATTTAACTTTTATATCATCTTGCTTTTATGTATTTTTCCAGACTGATTAGATTTCTTTTTTAACCAAAAGGGCAGGCCCCAGGACATTTTCTTGTGTTTAGAGTCCTCATTTGTCTCCTTGTGGGGAAGAACTTTCTCTGGATTAGAAATCCTTCCAGGCATATTAAAAGTGGCAAAATAAACTCTAGTAATGAGAAGAGAGGTTGAGGTGGTTGAATCTCCTTGGGCCTCAAATCAGTGGTGTACTGGTAAATATTTACCAATTAGCTCTTTGGGGAGCAAAAAGCCCTAGTTTGATAGCATTTGCCAATTTCCGTGGTGTAAATATTCCCACCATGGCCAATTTCAAGCCACAAGGAGACATCAGTGAAGCTAGAGCAACAAAGAGCCGTATGCGGTGGGCTCCCGGGAGCCAGTGAGGGTGAGCGGGATTCAGCATACCACTGGCCCTTAATGCCTTTGTCACCCAGAGATGCTTTGAGGTTTCCCAGTGGCCACCCAATTCCGGAGGGGGTGCAAATGAAAGTTCACAGTCCATAACTGTCATGGAGGGTTTTTAGTGACTGTTTGAAAGGGGTTTCCAGGTCACTGGAGAATAGTTGTTATTAAAAGGCAAAGGCTGTGACCATGATCCAAGAATAAGGGAAATGGACTTCATCCATCCCTTTGTACTCCAGTGGCCTGTGTCAAGAATGTCCGCTTCGGTGACTTTCTGTTTATGTGAGAATAAAGACAAAGCCTAGGATGAGGAGAGAAGGCTGTCTGTGGAAAGCAGGGGCAGGTGGGCAGGTCTCCTGGTGTGAAGAAATTAATCCCTTTGTTTCCTCTTATCTCCATCTCTCCTTCTCACCCACCTGGCCCTCCTCGTCCTCCTCCTCCTCACGCATTCCCCTGCCCTGCCCCTCTGCTCTCACTCCCCAGAGAGTTTTCCAAAGAAAGGGAGAAGGCCAAGGCTCGGGGAGATTTCCAGAAGCTTCGAGAGAAGCAGCAGCTGGAAGAGGACCTGAAGGGCTACCTGGACTGGATCACCCAGGCAGAGGACATCGACCCCGAGAATGAGGATGAAGGCATGGATGAGGAGAAGCCCCGAAACAGTGAGCAGCCATCCTGTCTTGGGCTGGGTTCTGGGAGAGGGAGGAGGCAGGGGCCAGAACAGGGAGACCTTCTACCACCAACTTATCCTTACAGTTTGTCTTCCTGGAACAACATTCAGTGCATTGATTGCAGTCATTGCTACTCATAGAAATTAGTCGCAGATGTGAAATAATTGCTGTTGATCTGTAAAGCCTCATATTCCTTTTAGATCCAAAGATTCTAAAAGACAGTTGAGATTTTGCTAAGGTGGACTTTTTTTTTTTTTTAATCGGATGTCCTCCTCCAGGCTCCATCTCTTTGGGCAAGGGGCAGATTATGGTCTTCCCATTAGAGTTTTAAAATCCCTATGGTGTAGGAAGGTAGGAATATATATTCTAACACACACACACACACACACACACACACACACACACACACACACACATAAAAATGTGTGTCTGGCTTCTTGTCCTTATGAGCAGGCATTAATTATGTCCATTGTATTCAAACTCCCCAGTTAGTTTCTGTATGTTTCTACTCATTAGTAACTGAGTTCTAACTGGGAATCTGGGAGAAGGAGCAGGTGGAGGGAAAAGGGAAGAAGACAGTCAAAGATGTGAATAGAGAATAGAATCTCTGCTCCCTCATTTCAAAACTGATTTAATACATCTATCAACTGTTCCCTTTCTGATAACTCTGCTCAAGGTGCAAATACAAAATTAAAACACACAAACAACAAGGGACTCATAACAACATAATTTAATAACCTAAGGAGACCTTTATGCTCTACTAAGTAGTTTTGCAAGTTGGAAGACAACACCTTTGATGGATTGTAACGATGAGCAATGATGCCATTGAGGGTCTTTCTGGAAAAATGCCTGGCAGCTTGTATTATACTGTTGATGGTACTGTGGAGTAGTTGATTCGTTTGTGGACTGAATGGTATGGTGAATAAATAAGTTGGCCTTGAATGACAGAGAAGCTTACCTCTAAGGCACAGGAATTGTCATCTTGGCTCCTCTCTTCATCTTAAGTCAGGTGGAGCCCCTAACTCCTGATTAATGGTGGTGAGCATGCTTCTTACCGTGTTATTAAAAATGTGCAGTATCCACTACTTGCTTAGTAATTAATTGCCATCCACAGGGACATATAGTTATTCTGTTCTCTGGCTAAAGCAAGAGCTCCCAAGGAGAAGTATGCTGCTTCCCTGCCTTGCCCATGAAGTGAATAAATTCCAGGGAGTTTCCAGAATGGAGTATTCTCTGCTGCTAGAGCAGATCACATTGACAAGGCCCATGTACCCACATTTCTGGCTAAGTTTTGGGAAGAACATACTGAATTGCCTACCCCAGTGGACAGGGTCTCTGCCACATTTTCATAAGCTCAAATATGGATGAAATTGGACTCTGGAGACTGTTGTGCCTCTCACCTCATGGCTAGAGGACACTTTTGGGTCTGCTTCTTGTCCTCGGTCAACCTGTCCTAGGAGGATAGAATGGGACCCTGGCTCCTTCAGTTGTGCGGATGATGGTCGAACAGTTCTAGGGGTTGGGGCAAGAGAATAAGTATCCAAAAAAGCAAGATACAGAGAGTAAAAAAATAACACTTGCAATGAAGTGAATGTGAGAGACTTAGGAATGGAGCCAGAAAACGGGTCCAAAGGACTGTCTACTGGGGAAGTCCAATTACAAGCAGAGTTGATGTGATTAAATTATTAAGGAATTGGCAACCTAACAGATCTGCAGGAAAGGCAAGTCTATGGCTTAGGAACTATATTCTCTTCTTCAGAACTTCATAGTTTGCCCTTCAAAACAAATACAAGGGGAGAAGTGTTGCTACAAATTACATGTGTGTCTCAACTAAAGTAATATCTTGGCCTTTGAAATTGCTAAAAGATTACAGCTTAGTGTATTTGCCAGTTCTTTTCAGTTCAAAGATTAAGTAGTCTTTTAAGGAAAAAAAGGTATTATCACTCTTCATCGATGGCTCTGGCGACTTCCGGGCAGAATCCCCATCCGCACTTGCAAGATGCACCGGTGAGACAGAGTTGGCTCCAGCACAGGGAAAGGTCATTGGCACATTCCGTGGTAGCTGGGCTTACCAAGAGGGGGCCCAAAGACTCATTTTTTTTTTCTAGGAAAAGCTACAAAACCACTGAGGAAGTAGAAGGAACAGGGGTTGGGAAGACAAGAGAGAGAAAGGGCATAGTGGGGAAGCATTTCTCTAAATAATTAGAGCAAATGATGTGGCCAGTAAAATTATATACAAAAATATATTCTAGTTCATTCATTCTTCCCTTCTTCCTTCCCTCCATCCATCCATCCATTAAGGGCAACTCTGTGCCACACACTGTTTTGGGCACTGGGGATATAGCAATGAACAAAATAGTCAAACCTACTTGCCCTCATAGAAATTATATTCTAGTGGGGAGATGGACAATAAATTAAATAGTATGTCAGAGAGTGACAAAGTAACAAGCACTGTGGAGAAAGATAAAACAGTGAGAGGGAGACAGAAGTGTTGAGATGTGACCAGGAAATACCTCACAGAAAAGGTAGCATTTGAATAAAGACTCGAAGGCAGTAAGGAAATGAAACATATAGATATTTGGGAAAAGACCATTCTGGGCAGAGGGACTAGCTCATGGAAAGGCCTTGAGGCTGACTTGGAAACAGAAGGGAGGCTAATGTGACCAGGGAGGAGTGAATAACAGGGACAGTGTTAGGAGATGAGGTTCAAGGTTAACCAAGGAGTAGATCATGAAAATCATTGTAAGAATTTGGACTTTTACCAGAGGTGAGCCAAGAAGCCCCTGGTGGTTTCGAGCTAAGAAGTGACATGACCTACACATATTTAACAGGATCCCCCCAGCTGCCATGTGAAGGCGAGCAAGGGTGAGACAGGGAGCCAGGTAGGAGGCTACTGACTCAAGAGATTGTGCTTTATCCTGGTAACATGGGGTGGTGCAGTCAGGCTCCAGAATGGCATCATTTGCTGACATACCAGATATGGGGTGTGAGAGAGAAAGAAGTCAGGGAGACCCCAAGGCGATTGTCCTCAACAGTCGTAAGAGTAGAATCATCATTTACTGATTTAGGGAAGATGATGACAAGAAAAGATGTTAGGGCAGGAGTATCAGGAAAACCATCTTGGACCTTTAAGTTTGAAATGTCCATTAGACTTCCAAGTGGAGATGTTGAGTGAGCAACTGGGATAAATCTGAGTCTGAGGAAAAGTCTGGGACAGAATTATAATTCGCAGAGTCAACATTCACCTAGCTGTGAGAGTAGGGCATAATGTAGACAGAAGTGAGACGTATCCTAAGAACTTGGGCCCCAGTGATGTTTGGAGACAGGAGTGATGAAGAAGAACCAGCGAGGGAGACTTAGAAAGGTATGGCCAGACAGACAGGAGGAAAAGTGAAGGAGGGTCCATGCTGCCCTGAGGCCAAGCAGAGTGAGCACGCAAAGCTGGTCATTGGGCTTAGCAATGTGGAGGTCACCAGTGGGTGAAACGGTGAAGCTCAAAGCTTGAGGGCAAATGAGAGTCTTCTTTTGTGAGTCTCTTGAGTCTAGATACTTCACAGAATGGTATCAGGCATTGTTTGCAGACCTCCTGTTGTTGGCATGACCTAGCTGTGAGCTATCTAAGGGTTTCCAGAAAGGGGAGAGGAGGAGACTCATGCAATCCAGCCTGCCGGTGCCACTAAGGAGGGGTGTAAAGCCCAGCCTTGCATTCTATCTCCATCTCCAGTCATTTTAGTACTAGCCATTGCCTCCGTGATTGGTTACAGACAGCCTTGGGAAAAGGAGAAAATGATACTCAAGAGCTATTTTGGTGCCAAAAAGAAGAGAAGCAAGCAAGGGACGTGCTTGTGCACCATTGCATTTGTGCTACTTCCAAAGCAGGCAGCCACATGGGTCTTGGCCTCCAAGCCCTGCTCCTCCTGGGTAAAGACTAGGGTAATGTGGAGGCCTCCCTCTCCCTCTGAGTGGCAACAAGCATCCCTTGTGAAGTCACCACCAGCAAAACTATCACTGCTGCCGGGAGCCCATGGTCACCAGGAGAGATGCGCTGCTCCAAGGGACGGGCCCGTTTTCCAGCTTCAATGTCGAATCTGATAGAAGGCCAGTCATTAGAGAGAGAGAAGCCATAGAGAAAGAGATAAAGTCAGAAATTTCTTCTTTCTTTTTCCTCCTCAAGATAAAAAAAAATGCATTTATTAAGTATCTATCCATATGGGAATCTCTGTATCATGCCATTAAGGCAATTTAAATGCACTCCCAGCCCTCTAAAGCTTGCAGTCTAAGACAGACATTTATGTGGATGAGCATATCAAAGACAGACAGACGGTAGAACCAAAACATTGAATTTCCACATAGATAAGCAGGATTAAATATTTACACCAGTGGTGTTCAGTTATGTGACTCGGGAGCCACTTTTGCAATCATCATTAGCTGACGGAGCCGCATGACTGCTATATGCCCTGCAGAGTCTAGGATAGTGGATTATTGAAATACGGACATTTGAGGGCTTATGAGAGCTTCAGGTTACCCACAAAAGGGCCCCATGTGGCTTGAGAGCAGTAATCTGAGTATCATCGATTTACATTATATACGTGTCAAGGGTATGTGTATCATTATTTCAAGCTTTTTTTTTTTTACATTTTCATCAGAATAATCAGCATTTACCCTGGACTTAACCTGTGGTCAGGGGTTACCACACGTCTACATTTCTGTGACAGGACCCACCAAGGATCTGGCTCTGCAATCTTGAGAAGAAACACTAACTATTGTCTTTTCCTTGATTCCCTTCTTACCTTGCACCCTTTAATTATCAGGTGTTAGAGGACCATCCTGACCCCATGCTACTCAGTGAAGCAAACTCTGTGCAGACCCCAGATATCTCTTGTCCCCCGCATTAACTCCAGCTGGTCCTGATCGGGGCCCTAAAACTTTAGTGTCGGAATGTGGCCTTAGAGATAAGGTGAGGAATCTAGAGTCCAACACAGGAACCACTC